CTAAGTTTGTAGCAAAATTGAAATTCAAGTTATTAGTATTTTCAGATACCTGAGTATGTGATCTTTAAAATGAGGGGTCATTCATTGAAATTGGACATTTCAAGCCTAAGTTATTGGAAAGTGAAATTACAGCATTCTTAGAGTCAAGATAAACATGATTTTGAGTAATTGACTTCCAAAGTTACTTGTGCATTTATTGTTTAATAGAATTAACTATCTAAATAACATTAAATAAACGATTTGTTGATCACTTCCAGAACTAATACTTTGGGACATGATTAATAAGACATTAAACTGTTGATCTATAGTGAAAAAAAAATTGGATTTTTAGGCAATTTTTTTAACTACCATATTTTATAGCTCCTTTACTCAATACTGGTCTGTGCGACAACTTAACCATTTTGCCACGACATGCCTCATATATGGTCATACTTCCTGGCCCCACTCACTAATTCTGTCTAACTAAACTTCTGGCAAGCCAGAAAGTAGACTGTTGCAGTAGTCTAGCTTAGACAAAATATATGCATGGATGAGCTTTTCACAAGATGGTTTGTCTAGAAACTTTCTTAGGCGACTTATGTACATGGTACTGGAGAGTGGTGATCGTGTGATATTTGAACATGTACGTCCATACTCGTGAGAGTCGACAGTCACTGCAAGGTTTTTAATTGTATCACTTGATACCACAGAGGTTTGGCCCCCTGCTATTCCTATTATTGAAACGGTGTATTTTCTGTAACGTGATGACAGATGGATGACTTCTGTTTTGCTTTCATTTAACTTCAGTGTGCTAGTGAGCATCCACCTTCGTATATCTGTTTGAGGCGATGGATCTTTACGTTGCAATCAGTGTCACATCTGAGACTCACCTAGAGTTGGGTGTCGTCAGCGTACGACATGTGCAAAAAAAATTCATTTTTTCGTAAAACAAGCTTAATTAGAACCCGAAGAAAATTACTTCAAATTCAATATTAAGTATGAACAATTAAGGAATTCATTGAATCAATGGACCCTCATAAACACAACAAACTGAACGTTTAATAGGAATATTCTAGACCTATTTTAAAGACCCAGGGATCAAATTTAGATGTAGGCCTACGGCCAGGCAGGAGGCCGCCGGGGCTTCCTCCTACTACTACTAGGCCGTAGCCTAGCCTAGTTATGAAATCATCGCACGATTTTACCTGTCTGCCTGCACTGACCTAAAAGGACGTCAGTGACTGTATTCTCTCTCGAATTCTGAAATGTTTATTTCTTTGACGAAAATCTATCAAAATAGCATTACAAATAAGTTCTTTCTAACACAATACAAATTACAATAGTTATTCATCGTATCCATACTGTACTGCTGATGTGCAGTTAATTAAACGCGTACCGCAGGAGCAAAAATCAGCATACGCACAGCTAAGTATAAATATGCACACATATACTGATCATATCACTATAACAACCGATGACTGCTACAACAGTTTGTTATAAAAAACTAAAATTAAAAGATGGCGATTGATTTATAAAGCAATTAGTAGAGCATGCATCGTACACTAAATGGAAAATTATTATACTTAGGTTAGATTTAATGCATTCAAAAATTTCTTTCGGGCCTTGCAGGCCCTCAGGAAATTTTTTCAAGCATTAAATCTAACCTTCGTACAATAATTTTTCAATAGTGTACTATGCGGAGCTCTACTAATTGCTTATTATTAAGCGCTTTCCAGACTATCAAATTTTATTTGACAAGAACATGTGACTTGCCTAAATATGGTCATGATGACATCACATCATGACCATATATAGGCACATCATGACTATATATGGGCATACAACAGCTTTTTGTCAAAGAAAATTTGATAAATCTTGACAGAGCTTTAGACTTGGTTTATATAACACCAATGTATCTTAATATAACAAGACTTCTTGGTACATAAGATGCCTTCACATTACTATTAAAGAATTAAATGCACTGTAATGTAATTGGTCCGCTCGCTTTAATGTGGCTAGTTGTTACATGATCCGTATTTCCTTTTTCTGTTCTTTTCCAAATCTATTACACTGCAGCAAAACCAACATCCATGTTTTTGACACTTGATTAATAAAAAATCAAACAGGATACCAATCTATCAATCAAACAAATCAGGATTTTCTCACAACCAAAAGCAATTCAAATCTTTAAGCATAATAAAGAGACTGTTTAACAGAGAATGCGGTGACATTGCAATCTCAGGAGAGATTCACTTGTTCAAGACAGTCCTGTGTACTCTACACAACAGAGGTTAGGCCATAACATGTCCTAGAATTCAAAGGACAAAAGTTCAGTCTTTGAAAGCGCAGTGACTCTTATGTGTCATCATTACATAATGTCATCACAAACCAAAATTGGTCCACTATAATCAGCCAGCCTCTGTAAATGATTCACCCTTGTTAACTTTGTTAAAAAACAGTGTACAAACTTACCATTGCTTCCAGGATCATATCGGGAATGGTTGTCCATCTTAAGGCGATTTCTGATACAGACACCTGCTGCTGGAACTGTTTTTAAAAACATGGTAAATAACGAGCTACTTAAACAGAACACACACGAGGTCAGCTCAGCTGTCTTCAACTCAAGTCGTGATGGACTACCTGTCAATCAAGAGGAAAGGGAATGTATTGTGGTTGTATTTTATATGTTCATAATTGTTTATATATGAACACTTTCTAAGATTGTAATTGTAATATAAATTTTGTGAATAAATCACATAACAAAGGTGGTACTTACCACTTAGATGTAGAACTATTTGATTCCACAGGAATTCAACACAGGTACGCGACTTGTATTCTTGACTTCCAATTCTGAGATGCGTGGCCTCAACGGAAACACACCTCAAATTCTGCAAGTTTATATCCACACTGTCCAGACTACAGTCGGACAAGTCTTCTTCTTTAAACTTTGCAGCTTTACTTTTATCCTTCTGATCCGATAGCAACTTCTCGTGCTTAAAAAAGAGTTTAAATCAATCTGATATGATATAAGTCCAAAAAAAATTGTTATGCTCAAGTTGAGTGACATATGACAATCAGAATAGGTCGTTCAGGATGATTGTTTTTTTGTGGGTCAAACGCCCATATTCTTAAAATGAACTTTAGTCGAACTTCTAACCAGAACTTCATTTAGTCCTAGCTGCAACTTAAAATTAAATTTGTATCCATAAACAATGTAGTCCAAGTTCTAACTACAACTAAATCAAGTCCTATTTTTAGTTCAGCTAAGAAGACTGGCAAGCAATGACTACCAAACTAAACAATGAATAAAGCTCATTTTATTAGCAGACGAAATTTTAGAGATCCGGTAATGCGAATGAATATTAAGCTGCCGTGTGCCGTTCAAAAACATATTTCCTTATAATTCATAATAGATAATCACTGGCTTTTAAATAATTTTCTATAATAACTATATTAATCGTTAACATATAACTATAGAGAATTCGAACAGTGACTGGAAATTTGCTTTCTTTGGAGAACTATAGTTGAGCTCGAGCGAGGGCGGAGCCATCTTCGATGTAGTTAAAGCTACGTGACCGCACGCGAGTGGATTTCATGCAAATCAGTAACTATTGCCTGTGGCTAGCAAAGCATGTTACTTTTGCCTTTTGGAAGCTAAACTTGATGTCTCTTTTGTTTAACACACCGAAGATATATCAGACCTACGTATACAATCATTTTTATTCATTTCACTTTATCATGAGTTACTAAAAGCACGTTTTAAGTTGGGTAAATATTTCAAGTCAGCGATTTAGCCTGACACAAGCTGAATAAAAAAATCGGCCTGTGGCGGTGTCATTTTAGTCTAGGTTCGGGTGATATAGTCGTAGTGCTAGTTGAAGTTCGTTTTAAGAATACGAAATGACGTAATTTTTAAGTTTTAGCTCAAACTACGACTAAAGTTCATTTTAAGAATACCAGGGTTACGCTTAGTCCATTGCAAATGATCACTCACTTCATGCTTTTGGCTGTAGAAATACAACCCTTTAGCTAAATTCCACAGTTATGTTATAAAGTAAATATATTAGAAATTGGAAATTGAATATTAAAATCATCAATTTTTTTTGCTCCTCCTCAAGCCCTATCCAGACTATTAAATTTGATTGACAAATAACTGGTGTATGCCCATATATATGTCATGATGTGCCATAAATAGTCATGATGTGCACATATATAGTCATGATGTGCCCATATATAGTCATGATGTTGCCCTATATAGTCATGATGTGCCATAAATAGTCAGGATGTGCCATATATAGTCATGATGTGCCCATATATAGTCAGGATGTGCCATATATAGTCAGGATGTGCCCATATATAGTCATGATGTGCCCATATATAGTCAGGATGTGCCCATATATATTCATGATGTGCCCATATATATTCAGTGCCCATATATATTCATGATGTGCCCATATATATTCATGATGTGCCCATATATATTCATGATGTGCCCATATATATTCATGATGTGCCCATATATATTCATGATGTGCCCATATATATTCATGATGTTGCCATATATAGTCATGATGTGCCCATATATATTCAGTGCCCGATAATGATGTGATGTCATCATGACCATGTTTTTGTCCAATAAAATCTGATAGTCTGGGCAAGGCTAGACCCGAACCCAGATTATCAAGACTTGGTCAGACGTAGGTAACACCAGGAAACATTCTATTGATGGCCTAACTAAGGACTCTTGTTTTATGATTCATTAAATTCAATTAATTTAGTTTGATAAATCTTTACCTGGTCTCTCATCTTTTGCTTCCTGCTCACCCTTGGGCTACTGACATTTCTTCCCCCATCATTTGTTCGGTGGTGACTAAAGCAGGAAAGTTCTGAATCTTCTTCGTCTGTAAATACTGAAAGAAATGTCAAATAGGATGATACTGTTAAAAGATTGGGGAGAGAAAACATATTTTATATCAATTGGTTTGGCAGATAGAACAGTTAGGGCTAACATGAAACAGTTAACAGCTAACAGTTAACATTTAACAGTTAACTAACAGTTAACAGCTAACAGTTAGCTAACATGAAAAAGAATAGTACCTGAATCTAGTTGTACTCTTCCATTGCTTCTTTGCTGAGGTGTGGTTCGTTCAAATGTGGGTGATCTGGACCTGCTGTCGGTATCCAACCCATTACTCGTTCCTTCATCTTGACTCATCACCTCATCATCTTCATCACTTGATATAGATATGCACACTAGACACACACAATTTATATTGGTAATTCAAACTTGAAATACTATGACATGTCTTTGAATAAAGCCCTGTTAAGATTATCAAATTTGTCATGAGGTGCCTATATATGGTCATGATGTGCCTATATATGGTCATGATGTGCCTATATGTATGTGGTCATGATGTGATGTCACCATGGCCACATTTACGCATGTCACATGATTTTGTCCAATAAAATTTCAGTCTAAACAGGACTTTAGATATTAGTGGCTTAACTGATTAAAGTGGCACTGAATGGTTACTAAGAATGCCTACATCAGGATATGCCACTGCAAACCACTTCTTCCCTAAAAATTCTATGAAAAAATGCAACTATAATTAAGCCCCTACGAGGTAGACAAGTAAACTCCTTAATAAAGGGCCCATCCAAAAACACCTGACAAATGTCACAATCTAATGATCACTGCCTTGAATGCCTGAAGTTCTGTCAACATTATCAAATTTGATGTGACAAATTTGTGTGATATACCCATATATGGGCATGATGATGTCATATTTCATCCAAATATGGGCATGTCAGTGTTATTTGTCACATACAATTTCATAGTGTGGACAATGCTTAAAGCCTTATAAGGTCATTCCATGTCAAATCACCCAAAAAAAACATGAAGTTTTAACCCAACCAACTATGATTTTGATGAAAATTGGTATAAATGTTGGGTTTGGCATCAAACGTCCAATATCAAATTTCATTAAAATCGGATCAATATTTTGGAAGTTATGGCCCGCCCAAATTTTGCAAAATTGGCCAAAACAGGTGTGAGATAATAAGATTCAAAGGTTGGTGGCCACACCCAATTTGGGCAGGCTGTAACTTCCAAAATATCAATTTTATTTTTGTAAAATTTGAGATGTGGAAGTTTGATGCCAAACCCAACATGTGTACCAATTTTCATCAAAATCATAGTCTGTCGGGCCAAACCCATTGGGTGATTTGACATGGAATGACCCTATAATCATACCTATTAGACAATTAAAAATAAAATATACAAATTATAACATTATGCTACCTGGCTGTACAGGTTTTTTTGTCTTCCTCTGTGAGTATGTCTTCAGACGAGGTTTTTCTTTCCAGTTATCAGACTTCGATGTTGATGGAGGCTGCTGTTTTTTCACAGGCAACAAAAATGTGTTAGACTTATTGGGATAAAATCTTTGGATTGGCAATGAGCCAGGGGTTAAGGGTACATTGTTTTTACTCCCAGATGCATCCTCCTTTGGAATGGGGATTAGTTTCTGATACTTCTTCTTTGAGAAATTACATTTACAGGAATCACACTTGTTCAGATTTTTGGACTTGATGCCACAATTTGCACACAATGCACAATGAATGAAATCTTTCTCACCATCATCATCATCATCATCCTGAAATGAAAATTGTGAATAACTTATTTATGGTAAAAAGATCAAATCAGTTTTTAACTTCCAACCACAAAAATTAGTTTTCAATGTTCTTACAATTTCTGTTTTGCTATCCTCTGTTGCTGACGACGATGAAGGAGTTGTCTTCAGTTTCTTAAGACGAGATATGACTTCTATTTTCTGACATTTACCAGGTGCAGGAGTCATCTGAGTTGGTAATGCATTCTTAGCATGTGGTGTTCCACTTAAGTCTACAACCTCAGTTGCATTGCTGGAGGCCTCTATATAATCAATGGGTAATAATGAATTTATGAAAATATTTTGTCTCATACTGAATAGTGCATGGGTGGACATAAAAACGGATCGAAGGGCCAAAGTAATTTTTGATTTAACACGGAGGGCTGCACCTAAACTTTCATTTTCCAGTGTTTCCAAAAAATTTATGGGCTGCTTTTATACCACTTTATGCTCAGTTTAATATTATTTTTTACATATAATCAGTGTTGGGCTATAAAAAAGTGTTTTATAGCCAACAATGGTTGGCGAGCTGCACACAGAGGGTTTTAATTTATTTTCGCAGGCTGCAAAAAAAAAAAAAAAAAATGTGGCCAGTGGGTCGCACTTTGCCCAGCTGTGATATAGTACGAAAATTGATGAGATATCACAATTCGGAGAAAGTCTACTCAATCGGTCACAAAATCACAGATGATTATTACAGAGTAGGTACACAAGCACCCAAATGTGGCCAAGAGATACTACCTTTAAAAATGCTTTTAAATAAATGTTTTTTTATAATTTAGAATTCAAAATTGATTACTTAAAGTTCTATAAATTGCACCGATTATATTCACTCTAATGTATTTATTTCTGAATTCTGTAGGCCTATATATATTATAAATTGTTATTAATCTTGGTTTGGTATGCATCTATTGTTTTGAATACTTGAAAATATTTTCTCAAAATTGCTTGTTAATTTGTGCAATGTTTATATTTATGTGGAGAAACATTTAATAAAATGAAATAAAGAAAAACATGACGAAAAATGTGAATTTATCATATTAAATATATTGAACTTGGTACTGTGTTTTCTTACCCGTCACAAGTTGACTATGCGGAATAATACGATATGTTTTTGTGCTATTTTGACCAGTTTTGGTAGATATCTGCAATACTCCCTGAATTAGTTCTCTATTCCCTATCTTCCCTGCTGAGCTGTAAGTAAATATGTTGCATGACCTCAGTAGTTTATTCTAGTCTGTGTAATCATTGTTCAATGAGAATTTTACTGACAGTAAAATCATATAATTTTAAACAACCATGATTTGTTACACACAATACAATTTATATAACATTTTATTTACTTCAAATAACAACATTAGTAAAATGTCAATTATTTTAAATAAAAATTGTCTTCATTCTATCAGTCATCTTTTAATTCATCCTAAAATGGGTATGGTTTGGATTTAGTGAATCCACATCAGAGACCTCAGCTTGTACTGTAGTTTTCATGGGCTTTGATATGGGTCACGCTGTTTTACTGTAGTTCTAAGTAGACTATATCCTCTGGATGATTTTACTTAGTGTTGGGCCAACAGCATTATGCTATTTCATGGTTTCATTTCATATTTCATACTGTACTTAAAAAATTAAGATGATACTATAAATAGTGTTTGAAAGAATAACACAATAATAACACATCAGAATTAAACTATAAGTCCATTTTAGTTGCTCTACCAATTAAGTCCAATTCAGTTCACTCAGCTGGATTTCCCTATCAACACACTTCTCTTAAAGTAATGTAACAAGCAATTAATTGTCAATTTAAAGCAATGAGAATGAAGAACCAAAGTCCATTCCCTTTAAAATGAGTTAGCACAGCTAACATAGTTGCTGGAGTCCTTAAATTTTAATTAAATTTACTTGTTCTTGGTCCCACATGAAAAGCACATATGCACAAAAATGAACTAAGTAAACTATTCAAAACGAGTAGCATCTGACTCCCAGTGTAATGACATACTGTAGGTGCTAAAATGCAGCCACTGAATTTCAACAGGAACCATACATTTACATTTGTTTTTACCTAAAACCCTGACCAGGCTATCAAATGTTATTTGACAAAAACATGTGACATGCCTAAATATGGTCATGATGACATCACATCATGACCATATATAGGCACATCATGAGTATGGGTATCAAACATTTTTGTGAAAGAAAATTTGATAATCTGGACAAAGCTTAAGACAGTATATGCAAGTAAATTAATATACATACTTGACTATTATAATTGGTTCCAATTGGTTAGATGTTTTAAATAAAGTAATGGTTGGTTGTTGGATTTCTGTTGATTTTCCTGGACTGTTTTTTTCAGAATTGTCATCGTTCCTGCTCCTTTTCTGAGATTTCTGTCTGTTGCCCAATTCACTGTTAGATGGTTTGTAAGACTGGAAGGTTTTAGCAGTATTGTTCCTTGTTTTTGGTAAGGTCACAGAGGTTTTAGGTGACGAGATCTTCGGTATTCTACCTATGTCCTTGCTGCTAAAATCCTTTTTGCAAAATAAAAATCAAAATGGATAGAAACAAAAATTATAGGTAAAAATGTGAATTCACATTTCTTTGACAAAATATTATCAATACACAATCATTTTGACTTATATTTTTTATCTTTATCCCATTGTATAGGATTCCTTTATAATTATAATAACAATACTCCAGTTCCTTTATTCTTTAGAGGCAATTATTGGTGATCCGCTTCTCGAGCGGATCACCTCTTGTTATTGTACTGAATCTTCTTTCTTTCATTCTTCTTTCTTTCTCCCCTTTTCTGTTTGCACGATATCTCAAAAAATGTCATGAGTTACGCACAATCACTATCAGCGAACATTTGGCTTGGTCTGGAATAGTCATAGTAAGCTTTTCAACGCACTCATTCATGAGTCATTTTTGAAAATAAGCATTTGAGCGTATCTCGCTTATCCTTGATCGATCGTCTTCCAACTTTGAGTATGTTATAGCTGAGACAATTCTCTTTCATATATTTGACTTCTTTTTACATTTTGATGACGTCATCATGGTCAAAAAAATTGTTTTTTCTGACCCCCCCACATCTTTCTTTCCTCAAAACGTTGATGAGCCCATATCAACTTAACCATTCGTCATTTCTGAATCATATTAAGTGAGCATAATCTTCAGGTCAAGGATGAAAGGTAACCCCTAATTTTTATTACATATTCTGAAAGCACATGATCGGACATTGTGAGGTCATCATATTGATTTAAAAAAAACTGAAATTTTATTTATGACGTCATTATTTTTCAACTTATTTGAACGTATCTTGCTTATTCTTGATCGATTGTCTTCCACCTGTGAGCATGTTATACCTGAGACAATTCACTTTCAGAAGTGTCCCTTTATTTTTCATTTTGATGACGTCATCATGGTAAAAAAGAATGCTTTTTTGGAGCCCTCTCATCTTTCTTTCTTAAAAGATGTAAACAATTTTAAAATAGAGGGCGGCAGACTACAGACTTCGATGCTATCATACTGATAGTTCGTGTACTGTAAAGGAAAAATTTGTGTGGCATTACCAACCAACAGGGGGTTTTAAATTAAACTTGACAAGGTTTAAATTTATGTGCCATTACCTCGGGCACGTCGTATAAGGTATTTGTACTTGTGCGTTAAAATTTTAAAATTGTTAATATCACTTTTCAGATAATTTAAAGCACGTTCAGGTCATTTTCAGTATTCCAAAACTTTCCATAATTTACGCATCGTACACTCATTTCCACGTCCACTGCACGTACTGAAGCTGGAAATTACGTTTTGGTTACATGTTTTAAGTTTGTGACACTGTATTAATAACATTACCATGCGCACGGACGTTAAGACGTATGTGTACACATTCGTAAGTCATTAAAATGCTCAAAATTACTCTTTTTAAAAACTAAATAGAGCATGTTTTAGCATATAATAATTTTCAATCAGCACCGCGAGGGTCAAAGTATGACGGATCACCAAACTCGTCCTCAGTGACGAGTTCAAATCTAGTTATGATTACTATCCATACTGGGCAGTTTCATATAAGGCTAGAGCACCCTAAGCTTAGCAAGCTATATTGGTTTAACAAAAAGAAAAAACTTTAAATTAAACCTCAAAACTTAATGAGAAATATTTTACCTGTGCATCTTTGTGCTGCCTGGACAAGGGTGGCTGTGGACGGGGAGGCCCAGTTGTCCTCAGCGAGTATCCTGATTTGTCTTTATCAACAATAATGATCTCACTGCAAGGCAACAATGTACATGAATTTGTAAAATATGATTATGATTTTGGAAAAAAGGGGCCAATTTCAGCGCAATTTTTGCAGCATCTGTGTCAATATAAAATCTTTGGTTTACATTGACATTATGCAGATTCAGGACACATTTTCCGAGTGAGTTTGTTTTTGTATTACTGTAAAAACGACTTCACAGTTTGGTGTTAGGCAGGGTGCAAAATTAAGATTTGTTTTATTTCCAATTTTTCGTTTAAAAAAAACATATTTTTAAGCAACAGGAAACAGTTTATATCTTGAAGTGTAAAAAAAAAACTGATTTGTTTTCATTGCTGTTGTGTTGTGCATACTCAATAGGGAGCTTTCGATTGGACGATGATGGTAGGACCAAGAACGTAATGAAGAAATAAATTTGAATTGAACTAAAAAGAGAAGAAGTCATCGGTACATGCAAGGATGTTGAGTTCTCATTGTCTTGATTCTAGGATGCAGTTTGGCCCGAAATTAAGTTGTGCAGGGAATAATGTCATGGTTGAGTGAATCATTCTAGTGGTAATACGCCATCGTGCAAATCGCAAGCTTCAGGAACGTGCCCTTTACATCATTGTCTGACCTGCGAATAATTAAATAAAAATACGGTCTTTAATAAATTAATTTTTCTACATACTCATCTTCATCTTCCTCGTCCTTGTCAGAGCTTATTACATCATCTCCATAATTAATGGCTGAAGCAAAACCTTTACCATTAGTAGATTCCTCAGCATCTAAAGCTAATACAAAAGATAGCATAATTATAGTATCATTAACAGACAGGTAGTATAACTATAATAAGAAATGACAAAAACAAAGATATCAATATCATGAAAAACTTTCATTGGCATTGCAATATCATATGGAAATGGAATTTCATTTTGACATGCGCAAGTAAAGTTGTTATCGTGTTTGATTTTATGTAAAAACGATACTGACATGAGCCTTCGTGTTCAGAAAATACTGTCCTAGAACACAGGCATATGGTGGGAAAATAAGAAGGTGGAGGCGGGTACAGATGATGTCCAAGCATACTTGGCGACCTAAAAAAAGCAGTGACTCGTGAGAGTGAGTTTTTTCTGGTTCCTATGCTGCAGTGTAAGTGCTAGGCTAGGCCCTAAGCCTGGAAATACATGAACAATAACTAGTTAAACATCATTAGATTGCCGAATATTTTGCAGTAATGCCTGAAGTAATCTTACCAGATAATAAATGAGAATTCATTTTTTCACTACAATTTCCAGTACATGTTTGTCAGCTATTTATCTCCTAATAAATACTTTTAAGTATTATGATGGTGTTTTTTTCACACGGCCTTCATTAAGGAGGGCGCCGTTGCAATAAGTCACTCGATCGTTGTGTCAAAGTTCATAATCGACATGTGGTGTCGTCGTCGTCGAGGGTGACCGCTGTTTAGGTTTTTGTTGCTAGACCTAATATTGTTCACAGATTAGAGGTTAGCTTAGCATCCGCTTATCAATAAAAACTAATGGAAAGTCAAGACCTATTGTGGTAAGAAGAAGTATCCGAAACATGCACTGACTAGGCCTAGGGGCCTAGGCCCTACCTCTTAGTAGTTAGTCCTTACTCACACGCGTACTAACACTAACTTGGCCGGACTTCTTGGGCTTGGCCCACTAGCTGGTTAGGCCTAGCCTAGATAGATGAGTTAATTAAAGGACTTAATTAATATTTTTGTTGTTGATTTTTTTTTTGCAAAAATCTTAATATTTAATTTTTATTAAATTATTTTTATGTAACTAATTATTAGTTCTAATATATTACAATTATTCAATGTTTATTTGCATTTACTATTTTATTTATTGCTAGAAAGGCCTGCACAAGGAAAATATCACCCTTGGCCCTTGCAAAAAAATGATGCCTAGAAATCTGTTCGTTATTGTATCCGTTAACACAAAATAGATTTAGCAATATAATTTGTCTTTCTTTTTTCAGGTCAACAAATGATTCATCATACGTGAGTGGAAGTGATGATGAGGTATACAGTCAGCTGGTTGCTTATTTTATAAATATGTAGTTTTTATTACACATTCTAACCAAGTTCAAAACTATTTATGTAATGTTTATATGATAAATACCCGCATTTTGTCCATATATGGGTATTATATATCCATAAGGATATATTTTGAAAGTCACAGATGTTTGTTTTTTTTTTTGTTTTTTTTGCTGTTTTTTTTAATCTATATTATACAGGGTAATTATTGTATAAAAAAGTCTCACTTGGTCTACCATGTTATTCATATTTCCTGCACTGAGATGGCAAAAGCTTGTTTTCTTCATTCTATTAATGTATTTGTCTCTAGTGCTACTTTTTCATGGATCACTAAATCATCAGTTTTTTTTTCCCCAGGATGTTGATGATGAACAACACACCAAACTGTTACAGGCCATTGGATCCCTGGATAAAAAGAAAGGGTTTGTATTCACTATTTATCATCTATGGTAATTAATTACGAAAACTTGTAGTTTGCCATTTGTGAAGTTGTGGCATTGTTGTGTTATAGCAGCTGGATAGTATGGGACAACACATGCGTTTGTGGGACAATTGCATATTTGTGGCCGCCTTCTGATAAGTCTATTGTTTGAGAACAAAATTTTAATTTCAATACATTGCATACTGCGTTTCAATTGTTTGTTTAATGTACCAAACGATTTTGCATTTAGGAGGAGAGTCCAGGAAAGATCAGAACCTGTTAAAGATAGATCAGAATTCAATTTAGCAGAAAAAGATGGCAAGGCTGGTAAAGTCCGGGTACATGAGCTGATGGGAACATTAAAAAGTACAGCGTCACATTCAGAACTCAAGAAGCAGCTAATAAATATACAGAGAAAGAGCAAAACACTTCCAGCATCGCTGCCAAAGCATGAAGCAGAAAAGGTACTTGTCAAAATAACTTTTATTATATCAAAACATCAATAACTGTCTATTTATTTACAATAATCTGATTTAATTTGGACAAATAAAAATACATTAAGTTTAACTAATACAATCATTTTTAAATTAACATTTCACAAAAAAATTATGGACTTATCCAACTTAGAGATATGGAGATTAGTACTGTTGTATAGTATTCAGATGCTTGATTCTGACTTATTTATGGACGTATGTCACGGAACACAAGACAAGAAATCTTTCAGGATCCAAGGGGGAACATTTTAACTCAGGTTTCCCTTGATGCTGACAAAGTAATCTTAAAACCAAAATAATTTCAGTGGAAGATTCAAAGGGAGGTGGGGGTGGTGGAAGCTGGCATGTCCTCTCCCCCCCCCCCCCCCCCCCACCTTAAATTGTCAAAATTATTATTTTTTTTAATGGAGAAAAAAAAAATTAAAATTATATTTAAATTTAAGCCTGAGAGTGCCAACTACAGGTGCTGTAATCATAAATTTTCTTACCTCAGCCCCCAACCACGGTGGGGCTCAAGTGGTATAGACCTTCCATCTGTGGGAGTTCTTCCCTTGGTCCCTAATATTTTCAGTTTATAGATCTGCCACTGATATAAAAAAAATGAAAACTTCTCTCTGTTTTTTGTATTCCTGTAGATTGAACGTAAGCGTGGTTATGCAAAAGCAAGCAAAGAGCTCTCCAAATGGCATGAGGCTGTCCAGGCCAACCGACGTGCTGAGCACCTCACATTTCCTCTCAACCAATCAGCTTCCAGCCTGCAGACAACAGACCAATTTGTCAAGAAATTTAAGGTAAAACATACAAACAAAAGTATAGATGTTTTTAAAGTAATGGTAGTAATTAACCTTATTTAAATAATATTAATAATAATTCTTCCTTTTTACTCAAGCCTGCAACTCCACTTGAGGAAGAAATTTATCAGATGCTACATGGTAGCAAGCATGCAGAAAGACCAGACAAGGAATTTACAGAAGCGGAAGAAGAGGCCTTGAAAGCGATGAGCCTTGAAGAGGTAAGTAGCAGAAGGAATTCTTGCTTTTACAACCCCTGTGACAAGTCTTTCTAGACTGTTTTACCGGGTCATCTATTTCTGCTTTTCAAACTTTAAAATGCCATCATATCTCTTGTTTGCTGTTGCCAGGTGGTCTCTGTATAATTGAAATAACTGATACAAACTATTGAATTATGCAAGACTATTTCTCTTTGTATTTTTAGGCAAAAGCTAGACGAGCTGAATTACAAAAAGCAAGAGCTCTGCAGTCTTACTATGAATCAAAGTGCAGGAGACAAAAAAAGATCAAAAGCAAAAAGTAAGTATGTGTGGGTTTGCCTTTAGGATTGCCCGTAGAAATAATCTATCGTTTTTAAGGTAATTGGAACAAAGTGAGTAAAATATTAATATTGTATATTGATGTTAGAGATAAAATGCATAGCTTAATTGTTAAAGCAACAAAATAGTATTTTAAAGGTCTTTTATACAGTGTATGTATTTTATACTCATAAGGGAGTGGATGCTTGCCTTCCAATCCTAGGGTTCAATTCCTGTCAGTGTTGCGGGATTTTTTTCTCATGACCAAGACAACTCCACTCCTTAAACTTCATATTGAGATTTAGTTTGTGTAAAGCATCGTGTGTATATGTTTGATTTGTGAAAGGGATTGTCACCTACAAGTAGGACAATGATATATACAGTCGAGTCCGCCAAAGTCGACTCTGTTTAAGTTGAAAATTTGTGTCAGTCAAATTTTTGAAAAAGTCCCAATTCTTTCCTATGTATTACTGTGTAAATTGTTTGTTTAATTTGAATTTTTATAAGTCGAATTTCGGCTATATCAACGGAATTTTCCAGTCCACATAGGCCGATTTTAAAGTAATTTTAACCACACAAGTCGAAGTTCCAAATTTAGTAGCGCACGTGGGAAAAATACACAGCCATGGGAAAATACGAAGTTCAATCCTTGTTGTATGGCAACAAGTTAGTCATGTCAAAACTAACATCTCACATACAGCGCGCTGTGGAACTTGGCTCACATGATCGTATGTCGTAAGTTGCAGTCTACTCTCACAATACAGACCCCTCTGGACCGGCTTCAATGTTCAGTTTTTCGTCCTGTTCAGTTTGTAAAACTTGTATTGAACCCATGCATTTGTTGTGTGCCTAAATAAATAATAATAATGATTAACTAGCCAATTTACAACTTGTATATAATCATGCATATCTACATGCAGGTTTCATCGTATTCAGAAAAAAGCAAAAGCTAAAGAAGATGTAAAGAAAATGCATGAGATGATGGAGAATGACCCAGAGACAGCAAAAGAAATGATGATAAAGATGGACAAGACCAGAGCACAGGTGAGTCTTGTTTATTTTCACCATTACTTAACAATGGTGATCCATCCGGTGTTTGGTGATTAAGGTGCCAATTTTCCAATTACAAGGTCACAGGTTCAATTCCGACAAAGTATTATGATTTTATTTTTCTCAACCAAAAACAATTCCACTGCCCAGCTTCATATAGAGACTTGATAGCCAAATCCAATGTGGTATTGGGAAAGCAATCTCAATAATTTGGTTAAGATTTACTATGAGCATGGGTTCATGGCTAACTCTCACTCATATCATACATGGATTAAAGATATCAAATCTTCTCTCCAACCTTACAACCTGTGCTGTCACAATTTTAATATGTATATTTAAATTTCATTAAAAAGGAACGTGTGAGCTTGAAGCATAGAAACACTGGTAAATGGGCCAAGAGTACAGCTCGCTTTGGTAAATATAACTTGCAGGTAAGATATGTATACTTTTGTTTTTACCCCTTGCTAAATTGTACTGCTGTTGACACTCTTTGAATATGTACTACGACCTATTCAGTTATTACAGCATAAATTTTCAAAGTAAGTCACGCTATTTACATTGAACTTGGTTATGGCGGTTGTTCCCAAACATAATTCACTTAGTTACAATTTACCAGCAGGTTATTATATGGCACATTCATTTATGCTGTAACATAATCTATCTCAGGTTGTAAATGAGAATAAATATTGGTATTTGTAGAATTAGGTGCCAAGTAGCTCCAACTCCACTTTATACATTATACAAGAAATTAATGAACAACTTGTATTATTTATGATTGTGTTATAGGCTAGAGAGCAGATTCAGCAACAGCTGCAAAAGAGCAGAGATTTAACTCAAAAGATTTCCGAGATCAGCAAGAGTGATGATGAAGCAGAGCAAGAAGTGGATGGCGATGAGGACGAAGTTGTGAGACCAACGCTAACCGACATCAATAATCCATGGTTTAATGCTTCTGTTAAGGAAGCAGCTGAAACAGAGACAAAGACAGCATCAAAGACAAAGGGAGCTCATGTACGTATATCAGCACTTGAGGCTGTTACTGCCAAAGATGTAGAGAGTGACTCTGATTCTGATGGTCAAATTGATGATCAACCCGAAAGTAGTGGTCAGTGGCCAGAGTTGGCACCCTTTGAGGATGTGTCAAATACTAATGCTCTAGAAACTAATATAGATAATGAGGAGTTTCTAAATGAAGGATTGAATCGCAAGCAGACTCTTGAAGACTTTGCAGACACAGGGTCTGATGTCGAAGAATTGCCATCGACAGAGATAGATGACAGTGGAATCACACAAGATGAACATGAACAAAAGAACACAAAAGAAATTCATGTTGATCCTATGAAAGTATTCACAATAAAACCAAGAGAAATACGCTGCCTTGAGCCAGATATTGTCATTGGTGATTTTGAAAGTGAAAATAAACCAGACAAGCATCTTATGGATATTCAAGAAGCATTTGCAGATGATGATGTTGTGGCAAACTTCCAAGAGGACAAGAAGAGAAAGATTGATGAAAGCAAACCAAAGGACATTGACCTTACCTTGCCAGGATGGGGAGAGTGGGGAGGTACTGGTGTAAAAACATCAAAGAAGAAAAAGAAGAGGTTTGAAAATTATATAATGATTTACAGCACACCTATTGGTTTTTGTGGAAAAGAAAAACGAAAATTAAAAACACAAATTGTTTGTTTAAATATCAAATAAGAAAACTTCCAATAAAACACAGATCAAACAATTAAGTTTTGACTTTTAACTGCAAACATTTTTAAATTGGTTGGTTATCAGCATTCTAATATCGAATAAGATGCTTTATATTACAGACCTGCCAACCCCTGGTTGGAGATCTGGAGAAATCTGGAGATTTTTTTTAAAATCTTAAATTATATATGATTTACAGTACACCTATTGGTTTTTGTGGAAAAGAAAAACTAAAATTCAAAACACTCAATTGTTTGTTTAAATATCAAATAAGAAAACTTCCAATAAAACACAGATCAAACAATTAAGTTTTGACTTTTAACTGCAAACATTCTTAAATTGGTTGGTTATCAGCATTCTAATATCAAATAAGATGCTTTATATTACAGACCTGCCAACCCCTGGGCCATGAAAATCTGGAGATTTTTTTTTAAATCTTAAAAAAATCTGGGGGTTTCTAGAATTAACCAAAATATGATGCAATTTACTAAAAAAGACACGTCAAGACAAATCATAGTGGTATAAAATCAATGGTACAAAATTACTGCAAAACAACTTATTAAATTGCTGCTTGTCTATTGCGGCAAATACACTGAATAATAACGATCTAATCAATCATTTATCTATAAATGGGCGTATTTTGCGGAGGCAACCTGTAATATCAGTGAAATCGGGTGAAAATTACATTCAATCGGGAGAACTGGAGATTTGTTTAGATATCGGGTGACATCCGACAGGATCGGGTGAGTTGGCAGGTCTGATATTATCTGAGTGTTTTTGTTCAACAGGTTTATAATTAAAGCACCACCTTCTGCTCCTCGTCAAGACAGGAAGCTTCCTCATGTGTTCATCAATGAGAAAAGAAATAAGTCAGTTGCCATGCATCAGGTAGGAAAATAAATAGCAAGTGCGAGGGGTGTGGAAAGGGGAAATTATGTGTTTACATATCCATCGTGTGAATTCTGGTCCCTGTAGTAGAATTATTTTAAATAATAATAATACTTATATCTAATATATTGTGTGTATTATTCAATAGTAATACAGAAGTACATTTGTTGGCTACATTTATGTTATTCTAGTTTTACAATCACTATTCCACATAAACAATACAGTATAATAAAATTATCTTCCCAAATATTTTTTTCTATTGTGTCCTCAGGTGAACAGCCTTCCTTTCCCTTTCAACTCAGCTCAGCAATTTGAAGCAAATATCCGTGCACCAATTGGAAACACATGGAATACAGAAGCTGTGGTGAAGAAGTTAATAAAACCAAAAATAGCAACTAAGGTGGGCACAATAATTGAGCCACTGTCAGAAGCTGATGCGTTTAAGGACACTGTGAGCGAAGATGTAGCTAAGAAGAACCACAGAAAAGTGGGTGGGGTACAACAGAAAAAACACAAAAGAAAATAAATTTGATTTAATACAGAAGGTTCTTTCTGTTTCAATGTACAAACTAATTTACTGTATGCCACAGGAGTGTTTTATTCAGGTAATTGTGGAAATTTTGTGGCAATTAATAAATTGAATACCACCCATGAGTAACTCCGAGTGTCAAAATAAGTGTGCTCATCAAGCATGATCTATATTCATTCAATTGTCCTTGTGGAGGCACTAAGAACAGTTCCTGAGTATAAGAACTAATAACAATAGTCTTTAAAGCGCAAACATCACCAAACCTGGTGCTCAAGACACAGTAGAGAACAAACAGGAATTGCAGACATCAGTATTATGTTATAAATTATCAAACATTGCTTTTGAACTAGAAGTTCCTTTATAACTTATGATAAATGGTCTCTGGCGGACTCAAACCTGCAAATACATATTATTAAGCCTAGTGTCATCAGATTTTAATTGAATATACATGTACTTATTAGTCTTTAGTAGTTCGATAAATGACTACGAATGATGGCAAATTTATTGAACAAATAAACTATATAAGAAATAAAGCACTACTAGATTGTACTGATCAATTTTTATTTGACTCATAATAAATGTACTTTTCTGATATTGTGTACAAACGGTGATCTTCATAAGCCAGAAATCTAGTCAAATTTTATCTTAGTAATTCTTCAGCAGTAGTTCATTATTTTGGTTGACATAGTTCAACATCATAAACACAAATACAATTGATGTAAGCACTAACACACGTATCACAAAATACTACTGTACTTTATATTATTACACTCTACATTACTTTTATACATGCATTTAAAAAAACATTCATTCCATCTTTAAATGCATTAATCTTTCAAAATATTTACCAAATTATATTGTATATTATTTTAAGGAAGCTTTTCTAATATAAAGCTTAATAAAATGAACTAATAATAAATAATATAATGGTAGCACCAATAATCTTTAGTGAGAGTACAGGCACTTAGTTATAATACTTCAAGAGATTTAATGATTGCATTATTTAAAATTCTAACATTACAGCTACAACCATACATTATGTAATGGAAATACTGTATTATTTTTTTTTGTATTTTTGGTATACTGTACTTTCAAAGCTACAATGATTGTTATTGATAATAGGCACTTAGTATTGAGTGTGTTTGCTAATATATATTTCAGGAAGACCTTTTCATACTGTTCATAGTAGACATCTTTAAATCACATGTCATTATGAACATTCACATAATGTACTGCTATAGCCATCAAGGACCATATATTCACAGATGATAATTCTAATCCCAACTAATATCATCGCGTCTGAGTGACGTCTGCAACGTCTGTATATCCCTGAGCAGTTTTTGGTTTTGTCTAGCTGGTTGATTCCTGACTGTGATTGGTTGCACCCTTGACCCTTTGGTCTTAACCGTTGTGATGACCTGCACTTCAGCACTGTTTGAACTTGAAGGTATTGAAACAGAAGCAGAACGACTGTTTGCACGCTTCTTTGTTGTTTTCTTCGTAGTTTCTAAAGACTGCAGAAAGAGGTAAAATAACAACACTATGTATTAATATATTAAACCTTTTTCTGATAGTTATCATGTACATCAGCTTCAAATATATCCTGTATTATATTTATACTTTACTATCACTGTTTACACCATCACCATCAGTTAAAATATCTATGGGAACAATGGTGCAACTAAACAAAGCATGGATACCAAGCTACCTGCCAAAGTTGCATTCTTTGGACTACAATAGAAACAACTGAAAAGAAGACACCATCCATAAGTCACCATTCTTTAAACATCATCCAATCACAAAAGACTAATCTGGAATCTTCATTCTTTCCCTGAAGACAGTTAGAAAATACTAATCAAAACGTTTGGAAATTATAATCCAAACTGTTCTTCTTAGACCCAAATAACATCTATTGAAGTTCTAGCATATGTCTTATGGTATACTATAAGCATATAATAAGTATATAATAATAAATAATATACTTTAAAACAAATTAATTTTGGGAAATTGCCAAACGTTTTAGAATTGTGTAAGAAATTATAATCCAATTCAGTTTTAATGAAACGCAAGGATTTCTTCTCATACTTCCTGAGTAAACAAAAGGCAGGTCTTTCAACTAGGCAGGTCTTTTGAACTAAAATAATATACTAAAATGTACACTGTAGTAAGACACTAGCTTTCAAGCACCAATTGAAAAGTTAAGAATGGGTTTTCAGCTTGGATGGAGATATCTATCAGAGTAACTAAAACAAGAGCACTACCTTTGATTTGTGTCGCTTCAATTTAGCAATCTGTTCTCCTTTGGCCTCCATTCTCATCACTAACTGCTCAAGTTCTCGCTCTAGGTCCTCCCTCAAATGTCGGTCATCTGTATCCTGAATTTGACGAGCTAGTTCTTGATGTTCACTGTGGTACATTATGAAATAAACATTAGAACAAACATTACCTATGAAATAAGCTAGTACAACAGTGGCTGATGCACTGTAGTTTGGGTTTCCCCTGTGAATCAGACCTTGATGCAATACAATTATTTATACTGTATATACCAACTTTCAGGTTCATTTTTCAGATCAAGTTGTTATATTGTTATCCCCAAACCTGATCTAAAGTAGAGGTATAGTATAGTTATTTATTATGCTATTCCACAGACTGAAGATATATTGAATTGTTGGGAAACAAAATTTTCAATAATTTAAAAGACCTTGTGGTAACAAAAAAAAAAAAGGAGCTAATTTATTTGTTTTCTTAGGCTGACTATAGCCCCTCTCCCACTAGGTTTTTTTTTCAGCATACAAAGAGTTTACCGAGTTGCTAACTCGGCAAACTTGGCATAAACTCGTAGGATGATTTGGGAAGCTCAGGGAGAACTCGTACCGACAGCTCTGAACTCATGGTGCTAATTTTGAACATGTTCAAAATTAGTGCTACGAGTTGACAACTCGAAAACTTGTAGAGTACTCGGGGTACTCTTACCTAACTCGTACACTACTCAGGATACTCATTGGCGGTTTTGTAATCCACGAGTTTGATGCGAGCACCCCCAAACGAGTACAAGTTAAGTACAAGTGCACCGAGTTGGTTACGATCACCAGGAACATTTGATCTGAATTTTCGTACCTAACTTGTATCTAATTTGGTACAAACTTGTTATGCTTGTAATCTCTTAAAGCTCATAGTAAACTTCACTCGGCATAATTCATACGTAATGCGTAACCAACTCCGTAAAAACTTCACTCGTAGCTAACACGTAGTAAGCTCATATAGAGGTCTTTTCCCAAGTAAATTAAATCGCAAGTTTCATGAGTTTTTAACTCAGAGAACTTGTGCGACTCTTGGATGAAATCAACCAAAGTGGGAGAGGGGCTTACATTATCAGAATTCATAGTGATAAACTCATTCTATTTATAGCATGTAAACCAAAAAACAGATCTTTAATACTCACAACCCCATTTGAGCGAATTCATCCTGCAATCCAAGCATAAGGTCAGCAAGGTCACCCTCCGAGGACATGGAGGATGATACTGATGGTCGTCGTCGTACAACACCATTGCTGCTATGGGCTCGTTTTATTAGAGGGCCATTGTTACACCAGGCTGGGTTGTGGGTCTTCAACATGGCTAACACACTCTGCAGATTGGAACTTAATGAATGACTTGGGGTCGTCGACTAGAAGAAAATCATGAAAGCATTACAGCATTAATATTATCATATTTATTAATTACTTATTTAAATAAGACAATAATTCATTTCTTTGCATTATGTGGATAGATAAATGCTCTATGAAGGTGGTATAATATAAAGTTGAATAATTTTAAACTAATAACTATTACTAATAGAAAAAAAAATGAGGATGATGCTTGGTTGCCGGATCGCTTGTGCTTGGCACCAGGGCTGACTGTTCCAATGTATTTTTGTGAGAGAGGTACTCTCTTTGGGGAGAGATTTTTGTTTTCTTTTCTGTTATTTCATTTCTAAAAATGCACATAGAAACAAAATTTCATCAACACAACAGCAACATTACAAATTGATAGACAAAAACATGATTTAAACAAAAGAGATAATAACAATTAAGCAATTAGGCGGTTTATAATTAATTAAAATGATTAACATACTGTCCCCGCAACAAATGGAAGATTCCTAAAGTTTGGCCTGTAGTGACTTGTAGTAGTTACGGCAGTAGTTGTTGTTGGTGGCTTTGCTTTCCCACTTGTGCAGGATTGGACCATCTTTCGTTTCTTTTTCTTCTTTGCTTTTGCTGGTTGAGTTTGTGCATTTGAGGATAATAATATACGATTTGTTTCTGCTACAGTTTGAAGCTTTGAATAAAACACATCATAAACAAATTAGTATTACTAAGGTAAAGAAAAATAATAACATTCCTTTGTGACCCTTTCTTTTTTTCCCCCTTTTTTTTTTGGGTATAGAAAAGACCTGATGGAAGCATCTAAAAGATGAAAAGCGGATAAAATAAAAAATAAAATAAAAAAATAAATTAAAAAGCTATTGTGAGAGAAATTTATTGATGGCCTGTTTGAAAATTGGATATCTGGTGTAGGTGAAAAACAGGAAGAAGGAAGATGGTTCCAAAGATGGGATGATGAAGGAATATATGATTGCATGTGCAAAGACATTTCAGAGCGAGCAATGGTAGATTTGAAATTGCTGTGTAAGACATTTATCTTCTTAACTTTTTAAACTAATTTAAATAAAAACACATCTAGTAATTACCTCTGCTGCTTTTTCTTGAACCAACTTACGATGATGACGTTCCTCACGAACCTTGTCCTCAAGTTCTCGAATTTTATTCTGAAATTACAAATACAATTTAAAAAATCAGTGTTTTTCCAAGAGGTGTTAGGGCCAACTCAGACAGCGTCGGCCGACGCAGCCCGACGCGATTTGTTGTCGCGTCGGGAACTAGCCCTGCAAAAACAAAACCAAATAACATTATTAATATTAAGTGAGATAACTGAATAACCCACCGGCATAAATTTCTCAGACATTGTCAAAATTTGTTATTTAACAAACACTAAATTCACATCATCCGGTGTTAGATGTGTATAAGAGACAGGGACTTCAGGTTCTGTTCAGCTTGAGTGCGCTCTAATTCCAGCCTTCGTATCTTGTCTTGTAGTCCACGGAGTGCTGATATAATAGCTAGAGATGATTAACAAAATTAATGAAACTATAATTAATTTTACACTTTGCACAGCCTTCCTCTCCATTGTTAAGTCTATCCCCTTTGAATATTTATGATTATAGCTTTCACAGTAATCGAATAAAAGTGACAAACAGAAATAATATAGAAATATGTACAAGTCTTAATTCATACAACTGATAATTGCAATTACTTGAACTAGCATCCACTCAAGTCTAGAATTAGAATTTAATACCACCACAGAATGAACAAGATAAGGAAGGTAGGCACATACAATATCATTCCTAGAGATAATTAATGGGACACACAGGCTAACATACAATTCATGTAAGGCTTAATTAATTGCTATTTGTTATAAAAAAAATTGGAAATTCATATGTGACTCATATATATTCAAACTTTATTCAAAAATTACATATAGAGTCCTACAATTTCTGTTGCAGTCTTAAAAGTGAATAAAAGTGTAACAACTCATTATTATAAATTACAGTAAAACTTACTTAAGTCGACTTTCACTAACTCAAATAATTTCTAAGTTGATATTATTTTAGACTCAAAGTCAAATTTTATTTAAGTCATACAATTTTTCATTGCCATTTTGGATTTGACTTAGGGAAGTTTAACTGTTACATTAAAAAGAAAATATAAATTAAAACAAAGTCATGATCTCTATACTGACCACGGCTGTTACTTTCTGGAACAGCGCGAATGTTTCTAGGTGATCGTCCTGGTGCATACTGATCATCCAATAATGGCCGTCTGTGTGGATAGTCATGATAGGATGAGACGGACTCATTGCGGAGGGAATAGTCCTTTATGTCTGTACCTAGGCCTAGTTGATATGACGACATCGGCTAGTAAAAGAAATACGATGAGAAACAATAAATTAAAATGCAGTCTTACTATACAGTTTAACCTAGCACAAACTGTAATTGTATGATGGGGCTTCTCCACTGGGCAACTCAGAACATTTCAAATCTTAAAAACTATGAAACCTGGTCCTGTCATTCTTTAACATAAGTCAATTATGTTAAATAAACACCTCAGTAAATTTTTGAATGCTCATTTTTCTGAATTAAAGGTGCACAATGTTGTTAAAAACTTGTCTGGTTAATTATATTTCCAAAAGTGATATTGTAGTCATTTTGTCACTTGTGTGGTCTTGAATGAGGAAAAAACTAAATAAAGAATTATTTATTAGGCCTAGCTTTATTAAAAGAGTAAAGAAAAAATATAGAAAAAAAATTATAACTGTTTATCAATAATAATAAAGATTATGAATAATACATAAATATTCAAACAAGAAAGATTCTGATATTCAGCACAGAAGCCTACTGTATGTGTATATAGGAATACTCTTATCTACCTAGCTAGGCCCTAAGACTGACTAGGCCTAGGCCCACAAACGGATTATGACCGGTTGAGCCGCCGACAAGTTGAGCCGCCGGTCATTTCTATGGAACGCCAAGCGCGTCTCTCAGTGAATGTAGTGCGTTAATTGCGGTGTATTTCAATTAACTTACTCGTTCTTGGTACTGTTGTTTGGGATGTATTTCAGTTTATTTACTCAATTATTTCAATTTATTTAATACTCGATTTTTGCACTGATTTATTAAATATTTTTGGGACGTATTTCAATTTATTTACTTGTTCTTTCTATCGTTTTAATTTAAATTTTGTGAGTATTTACTCAGTCGGCTTGCCAGATAGTAAAAAAAAACCAAAAAACTCCATACATTCTTATCATTTATTATATATAAGTTTAACAAATAGTACAAAAATAAAAATATATAAATTACAAAACCATAGTAAATACTGTATAATAACATAGGCCTAACACATTTAAATGTATTGTTTATAGTCATCTGTCTAATTCAGTCGTCTTGCCAAATAGTAAAAAAACAAAAACTCCATACATTCTTAATATCATTATTATATATAAGTTTTACAAATAGTAAAAAAATAAAAATATATAAATTACAAAACCATAGTAAATACTGTATAATAACATAGGCCTAACACATTTAAATTTATTGTTTAGAGTCATCTGTCTAATTCAGTCGGCTTGCCAGATAGTAAAAAACAAAAACTCCATACATTCTTATCATTATTATATATAAGTTTTACAAATAGTAAAAAAATAAAAATATATAAATTACAAAACCGTAGTAAATACTGTATATTAACATAGGCCTAACACATTTTTAATACGATTTTGCAATTATACAACTTTATTTATTTTTATAAAAATGTAGTACATAAAATTACATTTTTAATACGATTTTGCAAGACTGTGGGATGAATATGTAGCTGGTATCGGGGGGGGGGGTTCATTCACTGATGACATCGGCAAGCCGACTACATTCACTGAGAGACGCCCTTGGCGTTCCATAGAAATTACCGGCGGCTCAACTTGTCGGCGGCTCAACCGGTCATATCCCCGAGGTCCCCCACAAACAACGAGGGCCTGGGCTGGCTAGGCAGGCTACATGTCTATGCTTACCCTAACCCTGCCTGCCCTCTCAAAAAGTAGAAGAGGCCTAGCCTACTTTACTTACCAACCAACTAGCCCTAGGCTAGGCTAGGCCAGAGCCAGGCCAGGTCAGGTCTAGGCCTAGCCTAGGGCCATAGGCTAGGCCTAGCTGCTAGCCTAGCTGCAGCACTAGTTTACTCTTATTAGCCTAAACCTAGGCCTAGGCCTAGCCTAACCAAAGTCGATTTATTTTATTAAATTGCAGTTACACTAGCCCTGCAAAAACAAGACCGAATAACATTATTAATATTAAGTGAGATAACTGAATAACCCACCGGCATAAATTTCTCAGACATTGTCCAAAATTTGTTATTTAACAAACACTAAATTCACATATCATCCGGTGTTTGTTGTCTCTCCAAAAAGTTCAAAATAGTGTGAAAGGTCAACAATTTGAAGAAAACATTCCATTGGTCGAAAATAAATAGCACGCCCTCGACGGTTTCACCACAAACTTCCTATATTATCATAGTCTTTCCGGTACCAGTCGCCACTTAGATATTAAGAACAAAAAGAAAGTGCAATTGGGAATTTTGTTGTTGTTTTGATCGGCGTAGAATGTTGGTTATTTTTAAGGGACAGTTATAATTTTCAAGCTAAATTTTCTTTCCAATACTAGTTCATATAGCCAACAAATGAAGGGTGATATGTCAGCGGTTTCGGAACCGTTATTTGCGTGTACGAAATGCAATAGTAGACACCCGTTCGAAGAATTGAGTCAAGGCCAACAACTGTGCAAGGTTAGAATAGAAAACGTCAAATGGTCGCCGACGCGATCACTTCCCATCCCAGCAGCTTGCATTGCATTGTTCTCTAGGCGTAGCAGTTTAGCCTATGTTAAGCAACAAGCCGTAGAGAACTGTAATTTACATGCATCATTTAGTGTCTTGTATTTGTTGATATATTTTAATTTGATAATTTGTTGATTAGTTAATTATTAATCTCCATTTATACCTAATTATTTGATAATTGGTTTATTTGGTAATTAATTAATCTCTAGGGCTAGGCCTAGGTTTGTAAATCTAGGCTAGCTAGGCCATAGTTATGATGTACTCCTGCTCTGCCTACTATGTAGGCCTACTACAATACAAAAAAGGTCCTCTAGGCCTATCTAGACTCTAAAAAGGCCAAACACAATATAGGCCTAGGCCTATGTCTTTAAATTGAAAATTAGTAAAAATTATTATTTTATTTTTATAAAAGAATCTCTAACTTGGTATTGTAAATTGTTGGTAGGACATAGGTCTACCTTTAGGTTAACGGTAATCAAGTTTAGATAATGTGAGAAATGTTATTTAAATTAAATATTCTAATGTGTTGTAATTTTACTTCGGAAGCTTTAAACATTTTAATCATATTATAATAAAATGTTCCTGCAATCCTTAACTATTTCTTACATTATTTCTTTGTGAAACAATGAAAGGCATATGAAGCATTTCAAGCTTGATTATGTGGTAATAAAAAGTTTCTCCATATTAATATTGTAATTACTTATAAACTGCTATCGTCTTTTACAGGAATGTCGTGGTAACTACCCTGTTGTCAAGTGTACATATTGCAGAGCTGAATTTCAACAGGAAAAGTATGCATTCCAGCTTCTGTGAAAATAGGTTTAATAATATACAAATGACATATTTCTGTCCAAATATTTTAATTCCCTAATGGTATTGTGCCAATTTAGTAAGGTCCCCTCTCAAAAATGTTCCCGCTTTCTTGACCAAGCTTTTAAAAAGGATAAAAAACAATCTGAATACTGGGTAATTGTGGTGAAGGAAAAAAAATGCAGGTAGTACCATATATACTCGTTTTGCTTATCTTAATGAAATTAAGATTAGCTTTGAAATATTAAGAAAATACTAAAATTCTGTAAATAGTATTGTTCATTTTAAAAGTTTGTCTTATTTTGTTCTTTTAGCAAAAGCAATACAAACACAATTTGTCGGAAATGCTCTGCAAATGTGAAGACATATGGGACAGTAAGTGTATAGTAGATTAATAATGGCACATGGTAGTACTGTAGTAACATTGCTATAGATGATAGACATATCGTCCCCATCACGATTTGAACTGTAGACCTTCCGATTAACTTTGGATACTCTATCTACTGAGCTATAATCCAAAGTGGTATACACTCTCGGCCTGATCAGCATTAATGTCAGTGTGGATTAAAATTTATAGTTCATACAAGCTTTTAACATAGGAATCTTTTAATGGGGGGGGGGGGCATACTTTTGTTTGTTTTTTAAAAAGATATATTCTGACTGTATTCTGTATTTATATTAAATTTCATTTTACCACATAAAATTATATATGTGTATATATATATATATATATATATATATATTTATATATCAGTCCTTTACAATTATGCTTGAACCAACATTAATTCCATTATTTTTGCTTGATAACAGCCAAAGCCTTGTGAGTACTGCAATGTAATAGCGGCATTCATCGGCTCCAAGTGTCAGCGGTGTTCCAACTCTGAGAAGAAATATGGCACACCACATGTGTGTGAACAATGCAAACAAAAGTGTGCGTTTGATCGAAGGGATGAACGCAAGAAGGTAGAGTGTCCTGTAATTTACACCATAAAATAACATAAACATAATTCACTATTTCGTCTACGCTATAGGTCTTTTACTTGCAAGATTACAAAAATTGTTTAGTTTTCTTTGTTTTCATTGCACTTCTTGTCAGTATAGTATAAAAGTTTCCATTTTATATTTACAGTAATTTTAAGATTCATTCAGCAAGTGGCAGGCTTCCTGATATTAAATGGGAATTTTAATAAATATATTTATTAAAAGTTAAAATGCTAATAAACAAGCATTTAAGAAATTATGTTAAATGGGAATTTTAATCAATGTATTTATTAAAAGTTAAATCATTTGTTCTTGAGAATATGTATATTGTGTATGTATTGTATATGTATTTTTGTATATGTATATGTATATTTCTCAGCTATGTCTAGAATTAGTATTATCATGGGTTTATTTCAATTTAGGTTGATGGAAAAATTTTATGCTGGCTTTGTACTTTATCGTACAAAAGAGTTCTTCAAAAAGCCAAGAAAAGGAAGTTTGATCTGATGTCCAGTCACTCATCCAGGAGCTCCTCCCATGACAGCAAAGAGCTTAATGAAGCAAAAGAACCAAGGTCAAAGGTCTCAGATAAAGACAGAGAAAGGTAGACTCAAAGCAACATCTTGTTCACACACTAATAGCATGTTACACTTTTTAACACAGTTTATTTTAAAATAAGAATAATATTAGTTTTGTTACTGTATAAACCGCACACCAATGAATCTATAGTTTCTAGGGGTGGATCGATCCTAAAGGGGTGGGTCAATCCTAAAAGGGGTGGGTCGATCCTAAAGTCTTTATTAGTTTATTTGACACACTGTTCACACTAAACTGTAATGGAGAAAAAAAAAACTTGTATTGCTGTACAATTATGTTCAGTTAACTTTGAGTGGAAATTTAAAAAAAATAATTTGAATAGTTATAATTACATAAAATAGTTATAATCAATATGGCTGTAATGTACAAAGCATTAGTCTAAGCTTTGTACATTACAGCCATATTGATTATAACTACTCAAATTTGCTCATTGTAAATATTAGTTTAGCTACACTCATTTCATAGACAATAACATAACAAATCATTAGTAGATAGTTGAATGTTGACCGTGTCCAACGTCTCTTTGTGTAGGGCATCCTCATCTCATGAGAGTAAGAAAAACAAGAATGAGCATTCCAGCAGTAGCTCAACACCCCCTGTGTAAGTGAACCTTGGTAATTCTAGTAATAGCTCAACACCCACTATGTAATCAAATCAATCAAATCAAATAAATCTTTATTGCAATCATAAAACAATAGTAGTGATTGGAATATACAAAATATAAAACAGTACTAGAAAAAGAGGCAATATTAATAAATATGTAAGTCAACATATAGATACAGATACACTTTATTGTCATTCACATTGTGATTGAGATGCAGTTTCCATGACAGCTACAGTTCAGTTGTAATAAAGATAATAGAAACCAAAAAAAAATTAACCTGATGGCTATTTATGACATTTCAAACTTCATATGTACAATCATTATACCAATTTAATGCAGATGTTAATAAAAAAAAAAGCCTGGGCAAAATTATTTCTACATTTTAAATAATAATTAGATCATGTTAATATTAAAGAGAACATTAATAATATTTATTGTTAAATGTTGTCCCTGGAACGTTTGATACATTATTTGTAAGTTTGGTTTTATTTTAGCACCTTTATGTATAGTATAGTATATTTTTTCATTATGTTTTTTACAGGTCAGCACTTCACAAAATTGTCTTTAATGCTTCGTCTGAGACTATGAAAAACGAACCTGGAAATTCTGACCACGTAGTTGCTATGACGCAGCTAAGAGAACAGGTGGCAGCCCTTAAAAAGCAAGTACTAGAGAAAGATCGATACGCTATTGAAAAAGATAAACAGGTGAGATATAAACATAAGAATACTAGAGGGCACTCACAATGGAAAAAAGTGATGCATGCGTGTCTGCACACAACAAAATGACTGCAGTGGTCAGGCAAGAGCCAAGATGGCCACTATGGTTGCATCAGCACAATGCGACAATATTGTGTGTTTACTTGAATTGAAACTTCAATTCAGAGATCCTCAGTTAAATGAAGATAACACAGCTCCCACCATAAAGAAAATAATGTACTTCCCTTTAGTTCTTGTAATGATCAGAATGAAGATAAATAAAGTCCAAGGTAAAATAATACTAAATAGAATATACTGGTAAGATGCAAGCTGGTAACAAAATAATGGTGAGTTTACAAAGCATGCAAAGCAGTCTGCTCACTTGAACAACTGAATAAAACAAAGAACAACTGCTGCACTCCTTTGCAGACCACCAACTAAATGCAAATAAGTATGTAAAGTAATAAATGAATAAAAAATTAGATTGGGAACTTCATGGAATTAAATGAAGGAAATAAACCATGGCACAAAAACTGTGTGTGTATTCACGATGTCTATCTTGTTTAAAACACAGTATAATGCTCTAATGTGTTATTATTGTTAGAATGGTTACTCTCTATACTTTATTATTGTTGACAATATTTGGTATTACTATTATTGTTGGAATGGTTACTGTCTATATTTTATTCATTATTGACAATATTTAGTATTATTGTTAGAATAGTTACTGTCTGTATTTTATTATTATTGACAATATTTGGTATTATTGTTAGAATCATTACTATTTATATTTTATTATTGACAATATTTGGTATTATTGTTGGAATGGTTACTCTTTACATTTTATTTTTATTGACAATATTTGGTATTATTGTTAGAATGGTTACTATTTATACTTTATTATTATTGAAAATATTCGTTTAGATTGCTGAGTTAAAGGCATCATCTATGAATGCGGAAAAGGATTTGCGAATGAGGATAACCCAACTTCAGAAACACCATTCTGGAACCATTGAAGAATTACAAGTAAGTAAACAAAATGACTGACAGATCAAAGCTATATGAATGGTTACTATTTATATATTTTATTATATATGGTAGCTATATGAAAATGATCATCGATATGGTAGCCATATGAAATGGTCAGCTATATGGTAGTCATTTGAAATGGTCAGCCATGTGGGAGCAATATAGAATGGTTAGCCATATGGGAGCCATATGAAATGGTCAGCTATATGGTAGTCATTTAAAATGGTCAGCCATGTTGGAGGAATATAAAATGGTTAGCCATATGAGAGCCATATGAAATGGTCAGCTATATGGTAGTCATTTGAAATGGTCAGCCACGTGGGAGCAATATAAAATGGTTAGCCATATGGGAGCCATATGAAATAGTATACTGGTCAGCCATATGAATGCACTTTTATGTTTTATTGTATTCCATACAACAAATTAAATTTTTAAAGAATCTATATTCATCATGAAAAAGCCTGACACTGATCAGAGATGATTTTAATTATTATTCAGGTATATATTATTATTATTATTATTATTATTTTTCCTGCAGCTAAGAAACAGAACATTGAATAAGCAACTTCAAAATTTCCAAGCCAAGAACAAGCAATCAGTAAGCTAACCTGCCTCCCTGCCAGTGGAATTATAAAGCTATCAACTAAAGAGATTCGAAAACATTGCAGCAAATAACCAACTTATCTTTTAAATGATGTTGTAGGCTTATTAGTTAATAATAATTGCATATATATCCCTCCTATTGCATATTCTCATCAGATGAGGAGTAGGTGCAGCAGTGGCGCCAGAAATTTGCAAACAAGGGGTCCGCCATGTGCCGACAGAGAGGTCCGACATGTGCCGACAAGGGGTCCGACATGTGCCGACAGAGAGGTCCGAACCAAGGGGCTGACTAGAGCTCTGGTAGTGTTCACGGCAAGTTTTATGGCTTATTATGGTCCAAAATGTGCTTTTAGACCACAATATTAGGGATTGGCAATCAAAATAACGTTATTTGGAGAGGTAAATTTTCTTTTTTAAAATTTTCCATCCGACAACCTAGTCAGGGGGGTCTGACAGGGTTAAAATCCCCTTCCCCCGCTGGCGCCACCGCAGGGTGGGTGTGGGAGGATAGGACGGTCTCATCGGAGAATGAGATGGTCTCAGAATGGAAAAGCCTCACATCTCCAGTTTTGAATTGGTTTTAAATGGATTTAGTTGGATGTTGCTATGCTACCTCAGATTTCCTGATTTGTTTTTATGTTTATGCATGTTAACAGTGATGACCAAATAATTAATTTAAATACAGGACATCTTGGCAGATATTTGTTTACCCACAAACATTTACCAGTTTATATAAATTGTTATGATCATGATATCATCATCATCTTCATCATCATAATCATTATTATCATTGATCTTATTAGTTCTGTATTATAAAAGTTCAATCTAATGTGTAAATTTTGATTATTATTTTGATTATTATTATTATTATCATCATCAATAATATTCAATTATTAGCTTGGATTATCTGTAGGTTATTATTATTATTATTATTATTATTATTATTATTATTATGACATCATGCAAGGAACAACCAGTTTATCAGTGTGCATTTGTTGGAAAGTTATGATGCTTAACATTCTTGTACTGTGAAAGTAAATTTACAGCACTCATTTCCAAAGAGACCGCTGCTTACAAAACTGAAAATTTTAACTAAATTATGAACGATTCGCCTAAAGGTGTTAATACCAGTAGGCTTTAAATGATTTTTAAATTCAATGGCTGTATTTGGAAAATATATTTTAATGGTTTTTGTAATAATATAATGAAAGATTTTTCTGAAAATTTCAAAATTGTACATTTTTTATTCTGAGACATTAAACAAAATTTTAAAATTTGACAAAAATATTTAAAGTGACCAAAGTGGTTGATGGAACAGACAGTGAATGACCAGTAAATTGATATAAGTGCTTTTAAAATTGGTATTTACAAAAGATTAGTGGAATAAAAGTGATCTTGAACCTTACTTAAAAAAAGGTGTATTTAAAGACATTATCTGATGGCTTGTTTATGTTTGGTCAGATATGACTATATTTGTAGGAGCAAGAATCTTGTACAACTGAACAGTGCTTTTTATTTTCTAAGTTTTGTATATATTTTGTTTAATATATTCCCTGTAGATGTTGGCATAAATATAATTTGAAATTGGTCAAGTTTATGTTGATAGGTTTTGGGTGTTGTGCAGATTGTTTATTAAAGTTTTTTCAATATTTTTTATTTGTAAATTGTATATACTGTATAAGTATTATTTGTTGTATTAATATTATGCATTGTAGATGTGTTAGTATACTGTACTTACAAATTGACCATTTCATTAAAAAAAATGTGTAAGGATATCATAGTAAAAATCCCAGTTAAACTAAAAAAAAAAATAGATTTTATGTTATTTATTAGCCAATAATATACACTTTCATAAAATTGTCTCCAAATTTGATATCGATTGAAGCGGACTAGTAAATGTATATTTGATAACAACATATTTTGAACATACAGGAAAATTATATTAAGTTTGGTTAACACTAGTGTGCATCAAAAATACAGAAAATGACTTCAAATGAGCCATGTGACTATTTCATCAATACCTCATTCTCCCGCTTGTGAAAAAGTAAAGCTGCATTTTGAACTGCGCACATGCCAGCTCTAGCAGTTTGAAAACACTAGCAGAGTGGTAACACCTGGTTTCCATAGGATCGCTACACAGTCACTACAGCTTTATCACTGCAATCCTTGCACTGTGTAGCTGTCCCCGATGCAATCGGCAACACTTTCTGATTTAACTGACCAATCAGGAGTCGGCAATAGTGTGTAGCGATTTTTATGGAAACCAGACTTTACTGTATTCTGCTAATTTAAAATGTTTCATATTGAAAATCAACTGTGGTTACAGTGGTGTAACATTGCCAAAGTTTACACTGGTGTAACGTCTACGTAACATGTCTAATTTGCTCTAGTGGGAACCAAACTTGCATATGATTTTGATTCATACTGTTGTACTTGTAGTGACAGTCTTAGTGACAGTTAGTAAAACTTGCCAACATAGTTTGAATGTATTAAATATATTCATAAAAACAGACCTTATGGAAATAAACTCCTGTTTGAATAAACATCAAGATCTATGGTGGAATAGGCAAATTTATGTTCAGGAGAAGTTGTTTATAAAAGGTGGAAAAGAGTGTCAGAAAATATGTGATTTAAGCAAAAAATAAATCGTTTTAAAAAATGTCAAAGAATAATAATAATAATAAGGAAAAGTTGAGTATAGAAACTTATTGATAAGCAGGAGTTGGTATTGGTATTTCCATATTTAATGATGGAAAAAGTAAACAATTGGAAGAAGTTCATGCTTGGTAGCATTACATGGTGGATCCAGTTATGGCAAGTGGAGTGGGCAATCCATAGAAGTGAATTCATGGGGTGGATTCAGTTTATTTGGAGGATTTAATGATAGGTGGATGCAATTATGGAATAAGTTGATGATGGGGAGAAATCAACAAAGGTACCTACACACTTGATGGAGTGACAGTAATAATACTAGGCAGTTGATAATCAACAAAGGTACCTACACACTCGACGGAGTGACAGTAATAATACTAGGCAGTTGATAATCAACAAAGGTACCTACACACTTGATGGAGTGACAGTAATAATACTAGGCAGTTGATAATCATGTGGGAGGAACCAATTTTATCTTTTAAAAGTTTTATTAACATCATTGCTAACATATAATTACTGATTAGAATCTTATTCTTAGTGATTTTTATTTTCCAGCTATAGTCGAAATTTAAATCTTGTACTGTATATAACCAAAACTGACAGCCATTTTATCTCGCCTGGCCCCCAATTAATAATGTATAGTACAAGGCCAGTGTAAAGACTCCATAGAAGCTTCAATGATTAATTGTATACATATTTGTAAGATGTTTGGAACGCATGTACTGAATAAACTAACAAACTGTTGTATAATATTGTACAATTGTTCTTCCTTATTGTTTCTTAACTGCAACCAAATTCGAACATGGCTCATGCCTTCAGTTTCAATGATTACAAATACACTGTTGATCAAAAAACAGTTTCAATAATCTTTGCATAGATACTTGAATTGGCTTGTAAACATTGATATACCGACCGTCTGTGTGATGAGCTATAATTGAAACTTGAAAACTAAAATTGTTTTTGTTACAAGATACATGATACAAGATACAAGTCAACTTTATTGTCAAAATAATACATTCTGAGATATTTGTTGTACATGACAGAATCGTTCATAAACATATAGAGTGTTAAATAAAGATTCCTTAGAAAATAAAAATTTGAGTCCTGTGCAGTTATCTTCTGAAATTTTGATTAAATAGATTACAAACGATGTACAATGCTGAATTTTTAAAACGGTTTGTGGATATTTTGTTTTGTTTATGTCTAACCCTTCCCGATCAATTTATGATAATGTCTGAAAATAATGGATGGGATGAATCTTGCATAATTGAATTAGACAAGTAATAACTTCATTTCTTTCGAGATTACATGAAAGATGTGTACACTCTTCCAGCCTTATTTACAATTCTCAATAATTGACATTTACTGTCTGCGGTGATATGAGAGAACCAAATAATAATACAATAAGAAAGAATTGACTGGACAACCGAGGAATAAAACATATGAATAATAATATTTATTTTTATTTCGAAAATTGAATTGTTTTTATTTAATTTTCATGTTTCATGTCAGTACTGTGGGTGGCGCCAGGATTTGCCCGACGGGGGAGGGATGGGGGGCCGAGGTCCACGACGCTCAAAACCTCTCGAAAGTGGTCCAAGGTGCGAAGCCCCTAAAAAAAATATGACTAGGGGTTTCTTGAGGCTTATTTAATCGAATTTAGAGTCTAATAATATGTAGAAAATACATATAATTTTTTTTTCTCCCCGACGAATGTGGTTTTTCTCCCTGACGAATGTGGTTTTTCTCCGTGACGGGGAGAGGGAAATCTCCCTGACGGTCCTGCCCAACCCCAGGGGTCCCCACTTGCGCCACACATGATACATATGACTGTAAATTAGTGAAATAGTGGAGTTGAATAGCTTAGTGGCTAAGACAGGGTCGGATCCAGAAATGTCCAAAAGGTGGGGCCGAAAGTTAGGCCGATTGAGACAATACTGTCTTAGAGGGTCCGGGGCATGCCCCCGCGAAATTTTTGTGTTCTAGACGCCCGAACATAACATTTAAGGAAATCTGGGCTATCATTTTCTTCTTTTTATCTCTTTTTTTCCTTTTTTTTTTCTTGTTTTACCTCCTAAAAAAAGGAGCGCCCCCCCTCCCCCACTAAATCCGCCCCTGTTAAATGCTTCGCTTCAAATTGCTGTCACGGTAACGGTAACAGGATTTTTTTCCTCACGACCAAAACAACTCCACTCTCTAATAAGCCTCATGAAAGTTTATGCTGAGCACCTTGTGTTTATGGTTGTCTTCAGACGGGATATGCATCTTCGAATAATGATTACGTTCGCTGCTTGGCATATCCTTGGCCTTCGGCCTAAACCAATCAATATAAAAAATTTAATAAATGATTTTAATGGAAGTTAATAACTTACTTAATTTTAAAGGTTTTTTTTTTTATAGATCTATTTCAACGCAAATTGTATATTATACTATAATTATTTTTATTTCGAAAATTGAATTGTTTTTATTTAATTTTCATGTTCATATTTTAATTGATTTACTTAAATGAGCAATTTATTGAATTTCCGACAAGTACGGAAGCAGAAACATTATAATTATCCCTATTATAACATATTTCACTCATCAGCTACTCGGACTGGTGCCTAACCAACTCAGAGTTTGTCCTTCATCGCCACACAGTCACGTCAGTCTTGATAGTTGTGGGCGCGCGAGAGGGACACGAATAATACGCACGGAGAGGCCGTGTGCGTCAGCTTGAAGATTATCCTCTTTGAATACCAGTATTTTTTTTTTATCAGATTTGCGTCTACATTGTGCTTCCTTCTGAATTAGTACTCCATGTTCTTTTCTGCATTTGCATAGAGGTAACGAGAGTACGCGTCGACAAGGTTGTGGAAGAACGAAACCGTGCGTTCGGTGTTTCTTCTTCAGGCTTAACGTAACGAATCGCATAAATCTTGATAAGAAACATACAAATTAGGACGATCCACGAATTCAAAATAAGACCACATGTTAGGTAGATACACTTAGTGAAAAGTTCTTTCTCGTCAGTGACAAAATAAGGAGCGGCAAATGTGAGTATTATAACGATAGTAGTGAACGAACAAAAACTTAAGAATCTGGACTCAAAATAATTATCTGGAAGATCGCGTGCTTTGAAGACAGATGCACAACATATGGTTATGAATATAAAATTATATGTGAGACAAGTAATAACTTCATTTCTTTCGAGATTACATGAATATTCCATTCTTGCAGTGTCACCCTCCACCTTGCGGATACTTAATACGGCTGGCGGCCGCAGAAACAACCAAATTAGAGAGAGTGCAATCTAGAAATAAAATTAATTAAATCAGAAAGGAAGAGACAAATACATTGGGCCGATATTCTAAGACTTCTATAGTGCTGTACTAATAGTACTAATAATAAATTATACTTTTTATAAGTTTCAATGTTTTAAATAAAAATACCTATTAAAATGTGACTATAGACAAAATTCATTGCGTCGATATCTTTTATCTATTGGAAAATTATTGTTTAGATTAAGCCTACACCAAAAGTATTATATATCATTCAGAAATAGATTGTCTATTATTCATACCTACTACTAATTTATCTTTTACAAAGGAGAAACGTCATAAATCTTTACCTGAATTGATACGGTTATAAATAATAAGCCAAGTTGTTTTGATCGTTGGATTAACTTCGGATTTTGGGTTGAATCAGAAGCAAATGCGACTTTGAAAATCTTTTGAAGTCTGATACTCTTCAGTGCCATTGAGGAATACATCATACACACACCCACACCAGGAAGAAGTCGTGCTGCATAGCATACTGCTTCATTAGGCTCAACAGCTAAGGTTATAGTGGACGTTAAGACTACAGACACACCAATTAGAATGACGTAATTGAGAAGAGGCTCAGAGTTTTGAAGAATCTGTTCATTTCGATAGTAAATGAAAAACACAAATATAACGAAGATGGCAGCTAGGCCAATCGATGCTGTAACAATAATTAAGGAGCCAAGATGGCTCCCCCAACTGACATATACATTATCCAGTTCCAAACAATTCATGTGCGTGGAGTCTGGCCATGTATCTATACATTCAATACATTCATAACCAGTTTGATCAACAATTGTTGAGCCAGTACATTCTTCACATTTCCAACAGCATTGCACTCGTTCGTATATGAGCACCTCTTTAAATCCAGGTTTGCACGGCTCACTGCACTGAGACCGTGGTACTGAGCCGTTTATTGACGATTTCACTGACCAAGCGATGTTCTCCTCGTCAAGATTAGAGAAGCCGCCAGTGGTCCAGATACCTATGGGATATGCACGTAGATTACCCATTACGTCACGTTGAAAGTAACTCATCCTATAACGTCCGTAGATGTCGCCATCGGAGTCGAACTCCAGACGACCGTTAACAAGACTGTCAAAAGATGTATTTCGCAGCTCTTCCAGTAACGAATCTCCTGAAACTTCTTGCAATAATCGCACACAGTCACCAGTCGGTGGTGGCCTATCCTTATGGCACAATGAGCCCTGTATGTTGTGTAGTGCATACGCAAAGGCATAGACACTGTCCATCACAAGAGTATCATGGGAATTGTAGTCATCCTCAGGCCATTCCTCATCGCAGTTCAGCTCGCAGTTTACACGCCTATCGTAATACTCAGCAAACCAAGGGTTAAGCGTCGTCGATGGAGTGGTTCTGAGGAACTTAATATCAAATTCTGGTAACCTTTTGGAATATGGTACCATTGTGAAGGTTCCTGAAGGAAAATATATAATTGTTAAAATAGACTTGAATTAGGCCAAATGTTGATAGGTGCATAATGCGATACACCGTACCGTCTAAAGATATACCGGTACTAGACATGACATTCGACTATCTGAATCGATGACATAGTTCTACTACTCTAAACAGGTCAAATTATTTTAATTTTTATTAAAATCAATATTTAAGGTAATCTGATTCACCTTCTGCTGCAGCTTCGTGTTGCGCGATTCCATTAATTCCAGCGTTACCAACAGCGTCACTTGCCACCCACACAAAGACACCCGTTGCGTTCAGTCTCTCCACTGCATCATATATTGCATTGGCAATTTCCACGTTCAAGAACAAGACGACTGTCACTGCACCTCTGCCCAAGAGCATCTTAACAATGTGATTGAAGTCACTGCTTGCTGATATTGCTTCCTCGACTGCTAAACATATCCGATCAGCTGATTGCTGTTGGAATTCTCTGTAGCCGTTACGACCATAGCTGTCATCAGAGTAAAGTATAGATACGTATGTCCAGTTGAAGTGGAGAACCAAATCAATCATGGCACTAACCTACAAATTAATAAGCACAAAGTATCAATAGTGTGGCACTTAGAATAGTAATAGAATTACCTTTAATCTTAATAGATACTAATTATAGCATATGTCATGATAACTCTTGTTAAATTCCCATATTTAGTACTCCAAGAAACTTTAGTATTATTTAGTCTTCGGCCTTCACTTCAGGTGTTTTGTAAAAATAAGAAATATTTTCGGAATGTTGTTTGTGGGGAAGTGAAGAAGCTAATGCGGGTTCAGATCCTGGAAATGCCACTGTAATTTGTTCTTTCTATCCCTCTTTTCTATATTTTGTAAGATCTCTCGACCACTTTAATTAATTTATTAATTAAACTTACCTGGAAACGATCCGGTGGCACCGTCCTAAGAAAATACTTGTACTTGATTTTGTTGCTGAGTTCATCACTCGTAGACAGGTAACTAATCTGGGGAACCTGATATAAACCAAATGTTGTAGCTGCCTGGATGCTGCTGCCACTTCTCTGGGCACCAACCACCCCGGTGATGTTGCGTATGCTCTTACAGCTTGGTGACGGCGTTTGCTCAATTTTGCAACCATGGCTACATGTTGTGCGCTCATTTGCATGCTCTTGGTCTAGCACAAAATTAACGCTTTCTCCGAGTGCCACCGCATCGTAATAACATGTATCCCGGATGTCGAAGCCTAAGTTTATCCCAGGCAAAATGGCAGAGTCATTGTTGATCTTGTCTATTGCATATACAAATGCTTCGACACGTTTAATGAACGGTGATGCTAAAATACCTTCACATTTACTACTCGTCTCGTTGTAGTCGTGAACTGGCATCAGCCCACCGAGAATCAAGTCACCGTCTACAAAATATTTGTCTGAACTAGATTTTGTAAAATGTACCAAATGTAGCATTAGCACGATGATGATACTCATCGTAGGTGTCATTTTTATGAGCATGATGACACGTTGTGATGGGCAATGTAATAATATCACGGGTTGTTCATATTAGAAAACTCTTGAGACAGCATTATAAGCATAGCTTTCAAATATTGACATTAGTGTTGATAATCCATTATTAGAACACAGTACTGATAATCACTAATTAAACACTCGACAAAAGCTGTAAGATTACGAAAGACGAATAGTGTAGGCTGGTGTAGCCCACTTGCGATGTTGCGGTGTTAAGAAATGCTCATTGACCTTCTTAGCTCTTTAGTTGTTGTCAGGAAGCCCGAGTTATATCTTCAGTGGTCGTATCCTTAAAATGTGTTTTTCTCACGCACATGTCATCGGCGCTGTAACTGTAAATATAAAAGCTAAAGATAATCATAAAGCTGCACAGTATTATACTTTCTTATCTGAGATTAATTAGTGGACCTTTCGATTATTGTTATTATTACCACAAAATCATTGTGGTGAATACATAGCATTCAACACAAACTATTTCCATCATAAAGCAAAGGTAACGTAGACCTATAGTGTACATTTTGAAATATGCCTCATCCCGGAATATAAACAGTAGGACAATTAGTTGGAAAGTTGGTTGTTCCATGTCATTTATTTTGTCAGTAATCTATTTATTATGTTTAGACCCTAGACTGTACCACCAGAATATTACATCCTAAGATTGGAACCTTGAATACATAGTTTCGCTTATTATATTTTGTAACCTCGTATTACTAAATTATTTATCACATATAGTTATTTTTTTTCGTATAGTTCATTCATTTTGTATGGGCTAATGTTTAGCTCTCTACTTCCATTATCTACTCTCATAGATATCTACGGTGCCATGTATAAACTATATGTTATTTTAGATATACTGTACACCCTTTATTATTATGCTAATGTCACAAGATGATCTGTCAGAGCTATTTGATTATGTTTTCACTTACACGCTGAAGAAGGTTCTAGGAATAACCGAAATATCTAACCCAATATCTGGATGCGTCTGCAGATATTGGAATTCCTTCCTGTGGATGCTTAGTTCATTTTGTCATTCTGATCGGATTTTCTCTACTGTTCCGTTTTGATTTTAAATAGTTTTGCATTATGTGGCCGTTTGCTGTTTTATGGGTTTTTCCCATTTGCCTTTTAAAATTTA